TCTCGCTGAGTCAAAGCCACAGATTTCCAATCAGGGGGAAGCATGAGGTTTGCTGATTGCATAACTATAGGTCTGATTTAGCAGGGGGCAAGGCAGACCTCTGCAGAGAGACCAATGCTTACACACAGAGAGAAAGGGTCCCACTCTGCAGCATGCTGGCAGGGGACAGGCTTTTTTAATCAGACTGGGGCTCCTTAAGAAAGAATATAAACTGTAAGACATTGAACACCCTTTGTAATGTAATTAGCTGATTTAATTTAAAGATTCAGTTGGGCTTTAAAATTAAATTTTGGAGCAATATAGGCAGAAATTCTGCTTGTGATATAGAAGGGCACATTGTCTGGTAGTGGCAATACTTCTTGACAACCCAAATACCAACATGTTACACCCCCTTCCTTTCCAGGCTATTTTTTTATTCTAGTAAACATGCTCAAGATCATAAAAGTGGGCTGTGATAGTTTGACAATTACTCATTCATGCAACACTGCACCCAAATACATTTTACGGAATATTTTCAGACAGATAAAGCTTTCTTCTAGTGGTGTTTAATAACCATTGGATTTTTTTATTTCTTATTATATAAAAACACTGAAGGAAGACCCCTTGACAGACAGTGGACACCCCTAAGTGATATTTTTTGCCACAATTTTTTGGGGTATGAAGGAATATGCTGATATTGAGGGGGATACGTTTATTTACCTTTAGGAATCTTCCACTGAAGCCAAATGCAAGTCTTCTGTTATTAGTGGTTCCCTGGAGAAAGAAATTGCATTGCGCTGAAACTGCATTGTGTACAATGGCGAGATGTCATGAATAAGCCCTAAACAATTAACCCCCCCCCAGAAAAACTAAAACAATTTCATAACCAATGGTGGTCTGTGGCACTGTAACCTCCCCATATCCCAAAACAATGCCACAACATCGGTGATCAGCGGCACTTTAAACCCCCACCTGAAATTGCCAGCCAACCTCTCTCTTCTCACCTACTGTCGGGCTGCGATTTGCCTTCTTCTTCCCCTTTCTCTGTAGTAGGAGGGAGGACTCTCTAATGTAAATAGTACCGTTTGCCCCTCACAGTAATCACAAGGTACTCTGATTGGCTCTGAAGTATTGCCCGTGATCCCCATGGCAGTGGGATCATAAGCAGATGCACACATATCTCTGAACACAGGGACATTTACAAAACATCCACTCTAAATAACAGCACCACCAAGAAGTCATTTAACTCCTGGGGATATTCACCCCTCTATTTGTACTGGTGACCATTGTCACCGAGAAAGAAAGTGAGGGGAAATCCTAAATTTCAGAGTTGTCCCCAGAACGCGAGGTAAGCGGTAATCTTCTAATGGGGGCATTTGTTCGAAGGACAGCAGCCTAAGAGGGGAATTCCCCTTATTTTTATTTCTTCTAAATCCTGTTGTGTCTCTGGGACAGGAAGTGAAGGGAAATTTCCCCACTGGTACATAGATAGCAAAAAATTCACTGACTGAGGTTTTAACCCTTCCCTGCTCTATCCAAAACTAAAAAAAAGGGTTTGACTATACACACACTTTAAGAGCCTTGTGCTAGTGATAGTTTATACCATTTGTCTCTAAGTTTATCTTTTTCTTTTAGCAGCTTTCTCTGTGTCCAGTAGCAAATGTTGCACGCAACTTGGGGAAAGGATTTCAAAGAATGTGTTAAATAAAGTGATCGACCATAAGATTCAGAGACGTGATGGCATTTGTGACCTCCAAGCTTTTGTGTAAGTTTACCTGTATTACTTGTTCATGTTTTCATGTGTTATACTTTTTATATAAGATAGCTATGTTTATGCTGCTTTTATTTGCCCTACCAAATGTTCCCACCAGGTGAGATTAGACTCCACACTCCAGTTACATCTCAGGTGCTGGTTTATTTCATCTCCACCAAAGAAATCAATTATACCAGCAATAGGATCACCAAACACTGAGATGTAAAGTGACATTCTTCCTTTATTAAAATAGCCAGCAAGAACAAGTACTGATGTGTTTCGCCCTAGGCACATCACTTCTACAAAGAATTGGGTTGATTTTATGTAAAATTAATTAATATGTTTTTTAAAACAATGTCAGTTTTTTAAAATGTTTATACAAAAATGTTTCATTTTACATTTGATGCAGGGTTCCCCAATGACACAGAACACACCGATCTTAACAAGTTGTGGACACCGGGCATGCTACACACTTCAATGAAGTACACAGGGCTTGTGTAGCACGCCCTGTCCTTCTGCCCCGCTGCTGTTTACCCTCTCACATTTGCCAGCTATGGCTATGTCCGTGAGATTGTGTCTGTGTATGTATGCCAGTGTTTTTGAGGGCCTGTTCACACAAGTACAGTGCATCAAACTGTACCAAGCAATCGCACCTACCGTGCATTCTGATGTGGGATGTGTGTTGCGTTGCCATTTATTTGAATGGTACCCCAAACACACCCCCGACCCACACTTCATACGCCCCCACCAGAATGTGCAGTACCCTAATGCCGTGCGTTCCATTGCAGTGCGACTTGGCCAAGGACAAATGTGGGTCCTGAGGTTACTCAGGTTGAGAACCACTGAGTTAAAGCATATGAAAATAATTTGGTTTTAACAAAAGATCAATAACATATGTACAGCATCAAATGAAATGGATACATTATGCAGCATATATATCAAATATGAACGACTTATCCATTTATACGTAACAGTGCAGTTACATACTCTACATGCAATAAAATCAACAGTGGGAATATTCAGAAGTTCAAATAACAAAAGAGTAGGGTTAGAGAAAGGGATGAAGTGGAACGAACAGGGGACAGGGAGAATAGGCTCTAAGACCTCCCGGTCCCGGACTGACTCCTTAAACAGCCTCAAGCAGAGGTCTCAAGTCAAGGTGTGGCAGCCAGAAATGATTATGGTGCGGCTCAAGAAGCATGTGGTTAAAACCCTGAGGAAAATATTCATCTATCTATGGTTGCCAAACCTTGGCGTATTTAGCAATCCTGTCCAGAATGGTAGCATTGTTCTTTTCATGACTCATAGCCTAGGTACCCTATTCTTGGCTTTTGTCTCATTAAGTCTAGAAGTTCTCCAGACCTTATTATTATTATTACATAGGATTTATATAGCGCCAACAGTTTGCGCAGCGCTTTACAATATAAGGAAGACATTACAATCACAATACAATTCAAGACAAGATGGTAAGGAGGGCCCTGCCCCTGAGTGCTTACAATCTAAAAGGGAGGGAGAAGTGAAACATAAGGATGTTGCTGTATGGGGATGAATTGTTTGAGAACATGATGGTTTAGTGGTTAGGTTGAGGTGGGATAGGCTTCCCTGAAGAGATGAGTCTTTAGGGAACGCCTAAAGGCAGTCAAGGTGGGAGATAGACGGACAGGTTGGGGTAAAGAGTTCCAGAGGATGGGAGAGACTATAGAGAAGTCCTGGAGGCGAGTATGGGAGGAGTTGACAAGGGAGATGGAAAGCAGGAGGTCTTGGGATGAGCGGAGCCGACTGTTAGGGTGATATTTTGAGACAAGGTTTGAGATATAGCTGGGGGCAGAGTTGTGGATGGCTTTATAAGTGACTGTTAATATTCTGAATGTTATCCTTTGGGCGAGTGGAAGCCAGTGTAGGGATTGACAGAGGGGGATTGCAGACACTGAGGAGTCTAGCAGCTGCATTCATGATAGTGGGGAAGAAAAGTGAGGCTCGAGTCAAGGATGACACCTAGGACCTTGGCATGGGGTGAGGGGTGGATCTTGTGTTATCAATCTCAACCAAAATGTTGGGGGAAGGTGCACAGGCGTGAGGAAATATCAAGAGCTCGGTTTTTGAAAGATTGAGTTTTAAGAAGTGTTGTGACATCCAGACTGATATGTCAGTTAGTAGATTAGTGACACGCAAGGACACAGAGTTGTGGAGTGGAAAGATACATTTAAGTGTCATCGGCATAGAGATGGTATTGGAAGCCGTGTGAGGTTATTAACTGACCAAGGGAGGAAGTGTAGATAAAGAAGAGAAGGGGTCCAAGGACAGAGCCTTGGGGGACCCCTACAGAAAGAGGAAGAGGAGGGGAGGAGTTAGATTTGTAGGTGACACTAAAGGAGCGCATAGCTATGTAGGAGGAGATCCATGAGAGAGTAGAGTCTTGTAGGCCAAGCGAGTGGAGTTTTTTGAGGAGCAGAGGGTGGTCAACAGTGTCAAAAGCAGCAGAAAGGTCTAATAGCAAGAGTAAGGAATAGTGGCCATTGTTTTTAGCAGGTAGTATGTCACTGGTGAGTTTTAGGAGGGCGGTTTCAGTGGAGTGTATGGGGCGAAAGCCAGACTGAAACGGGTCCAAAAGGTTATCAGTGAAGTGGCGACTTAGGCGGTTGTAGATAAGGCGTTTTAGTAGTTTAGGATATTACCCACAACTATTGGGTCGCAATCCATGCATCACCTCCAAACTAACCAACAGTGGAACCTCCCAAGATGCATGAGCGATCTGAGATGTTTTATAGTATTTAGCACAGTTGCTTGGGCCCAAAACTCCACATAGTTAATTTCTAAATAAAGTTGATTTAGAAACCCGTGGCCTGGTAGACCGCCAAATAAACGTATGGACCCTGAACTGTGGAATGCATAACAAGTTGGGAAGGAGACTCAGACAGGTAAAGTTCTAAGAAAGTATTAGATTTTTTACAGTAGCTATTTACACGAGCCAAGAAATCCATATGGAGGACCAACGTGAAAGAAGATTACTCAGTTTCCTCAGCATGGGAAGTTAGCAAATTGAGGGACTGGTAAGTCATGGTCAGGTTAACACCTAAATATGAGAAGGAATCAGGAGCCCAAGTGAAAGGGAAGGATTCTTCTAATGCTTGGGTGGGCCAAGGAGACATTTGGGGTCTGGAGCAAGTTTGGGGTTGGAATGCAGAGATAAGTGAGGATGAGGAGGACATCATCAGCAAATAGACTTGGTTTGTGATGATACCCAGCTACTTCAATATCTCCATTATCGGGGTTGCCCCTAATAGGTTGGGCCAGCAGTTCAGGGCTGTGCTAGGGAGTTCACTCTTCTGAAGTAGTCACATTTGCTTGTTCAGAGACACACTGCAAGTGAATAATAAAGTTTATTGAAAGGAAAATCACTGCCCCATTCTCACAATAGCTGGTTCATTCACAAAGAACAAATGTACATGCAGTTTCACTGGACGAATAGCTAAGCACTTTTTTGTTATTAATAGACCCCTAATGGGTTTTGTAATACATAACTCAATTAAATGCATTACATTTGTGTGTGAAGTGCATCTATATCCAAAACTTCTCTTTTGTGGTTTGGGTAGGCTGGGGAAGGGCTACGTTTGAATGCTATCCAGATCTCTGTTAGGGAGATTTCCCCTAACGTCCTATCATGGCGACAACATTTTACCATACAGGAAGAGTTGTAATCCTTCCTGACTCTATTCAAAATAAATAAATAAAGGTGTGGCAATACTGTAGATACACTTTAAAGTGCATTGCTATTTTTGCAGCCAAATTGGATATATGTATACTTATTAAATGTTCCCATTCACATATCATAACTTTTAAAAAAAATATTTAAAAATTATTTGCTTTTTTTCCTGAAAACTCTAAAATTAAAGTTTTTCCATTCTTTGTAATTTCAAGGAGGAGGCTTGAGTTGGGTGGGGAGATAATGTTTACCATAATTAACCCTGTCTGTACTGAGCTGGCAGATCTCATAATCAGTTGTAAACTAGATTTAAACTGCCTGTCCCAATAAAAGGTTAAAGATCTAGAACAGGGGTGCCCACAATTTTTTGTGTTGAGATCTACTTTTCAAACGACGAGCTACATGAGATCTACCAACGAAAAAAAACCTCCCTCGCTCTCTCTCTCCTGGCTGTCTCTCCTTGCTCTTTCTCCTGGCTGTCCTCCTTTCTCTCCTGGTTGTCATTCCTCATTTTCTTTCCTGGCTGTCTCTCCTCGCTCTCTCTCTCTCTGCTCACCTTGCTGTATTGTGCAAACAGTGCAGTGCAACAGGCTGTGTAAACTAATATTCTTTGATGTAATAGCAGCACTTCAACCACCAGTATCCAGCAGAAAGGTGTCAGGGAGCTTGGCTCAGCAGACTCAGGCTAATAGGTAATCATGTGTGCACAGCTAAATAAATATACCAAAATGGAATAAAGGGTCCACCATTCACACCCACTGTGATCTACCAGCATCGGCTTTGAGAGCTACTGGTAGATCACGATCTACCTAATGGGCACCCCTGATGTAGAAGCATAATAATGCTAGTAAAAGGAAATGTTGTCTGGGGACAGCATCACTTAAAGTGTTCACATTAACTTGCAGTCTGGCCAAATGCTTCCACGAAGGCTAAAAGCTAAGAAATATTTTTAGAAAAATTATTTTTAGGTATGCTGTGTGAATAGGATCACATAACAAACATATAATGGGGTTTTCTCTCAAATTGGACTTCAGCAGTAGAATTACACTTTAAGGAATACATTCCTGTAAAGCATGTGGCATACAAGTAAATACCCTTCAGGATAGCTGATCTCAAACTTTCTTCAGACCTTACAAATGGCCTTTAGCTAGCCATACACTGTTAGATTTCTCCAGGTCAGCCCATAGGCTGAAACGTTATTTTTAGCAAAAGTTTCATCGCATCATTGAAATCAAGCCAAGAATGTGCTACAAAGGCTCACACATGTGAACATACCTGCAAGACAACTCGAAATTCTACTTTTTAATTCCCGGAATCAACATACCAAAACCTGTGCTTTACAGAAACAGAAAACTGAAATGTGACTAGTGTTATAACTGTTTACTTCAAAAGATCAGTCCAAAAGATCTTGGTGACTAGAATCAGCCCTGGTTTCTGATATGTCTTCTGCACACAATTTGTATCCCTAATTCTAAGCTTAGCTTCCTTCACCACTGACTAACATTTCTTGCAGGTACCTTAAAATGACACCCTACCAAATGTAAACTAGATTTCAAGTCTCTAATATTTGTCCTTGTCTGATGATAAAAAAGAAATACATACTAGTTCATGAAGTCCTGCCTTGTCTTCCTTTCAGCCGAGGTTCTCCTTGCATCACCCTGCTTCCACACTGCCATCTTGTAACTCCTGTTCAAGGAGATCTTACACATGCGCAAACACACCAAGGTATTTTGGACCTGGCATGGCGTGTTTGAGAATGCACAGGGTCTTACGCATGCGCATACATGCCACAGGTTTCTGCTAAATATTTGGAACCTGGCAGACACACTCGGTGGGTCTTTACATGTTTGAGATCTTGCACTGAAAAACTGCCACCTGGTATGTGTGACATAAACATCCCAAGAGAGGAAGTTCATTAGAGTACCTTTACTGCTTGTGTGGAATATGTAAAGACTTAAGTGTCCATGATCTGGGCATAAATGTGGACGGTGCTGGATTTGGCTTGGGCATCTAGACCTCTATGGTCTCTGGTCACAAAAGGGCTCACCCCACTGAGACATGATGCTTCTAACACCAGAGAAGCCTCCCAGTGTTGCTGCCTTTATTTTAAATTGAGGACCCAAAGTTATGCCTCACAATTTGAGAACAATTTGCTGGTTTAAAGCATCTTACTATGTTTAATTTGTATACTTTCATAGGTTCTACACAAAAGAAAGGACTTTCTGTATGAGCACTAAGAGTAAGCGTGCCAGGGCATGGATTGTAAAACAAAAGAAAAAAGATGTCAGAAGACCGAACAAGTTAAATGGTTCTCAGAAAAAGAATCGAAGAAGAAACAGGAGAAGAAAAATTAAAAAGAACAAACATAACTAATGTGCTCAGAAATTTGACATGTGCATCTGGGCTATATACGGAGAGCTCACTGCCCTGAATAAAGACAACATTTATAGCATTTGGATGAATGGGACCTTGTGTAAAATTAGTGTGCTACCACCAATATTCCCACAAGATTGAGGAGAATCCTCTCCCCTTCAACATCCTCTATTCCACATCAGCCTCCAATCTTGTAAATGGTGGTGTGACAGGTGGTCCTTGGTTAAACTTTCTCCCCTACTGTGACTAGAAGCAATAAACTCAACAATGGTCACTGCTGGTTTTCAATCAGACTCCAGAAAACAGCAGTGTATATTGCACCTAGAGCAGGGGTAAGCAACCTGGGCCCTCCAGCTGTGGTGAAACTATAAATCCCATGAGACATTGCAATTTGCCTACCTATGACCTAGAGAATAATGCCTCTGGTCTCATCTGTCATCTCGGACATGGACATCTTGTCCATTAATGCCCAAACAATGAGGCCTAACCCAGGAAATGTGCCATTTTTTACAATGCAGCTTTCTTTTAAAGGGAAGTTAAGGCACCGGTATAAAGACACGGTTCATTAGAGAAATCTTTCTATTATTACAGAAATGTTAAATGAGATAAAATTGTCTTCTGCAATCAGGTCTCATTATCCCACTGGTCTGCTTGTTATTTCAAAAGAAGCCTGGAAGGATTGCTGCAGAAGCTAAAGTTGGTAACATGTGAAGTAGTCAACACCTCACTGGGAAGAGTTTTGTCCTAAAAAACACTCAGGGAGATATTGTGCCGTGTCAACCTTTTTGGTTTGAGGGAGAGGTGCTGATGTCACTGAAAGCTTCACCCTCTAGTGTACAGACTAAACTGTGGTGACACTGGACGTGACAGAATGTCTGCCACTTTATTGTGGTTCCACCATTACAGCACATAGGGACTGTCTATGCCTGAATTCAAAGTTTAGTGTCTGATGTATCAAAAATGTTGGCTGCAGACCAATAATGTTAAAGGCAAGGCACAGTGGCCCGGATATATAGCACAAGTTTAGCAGCGTGTTGGAGGTGTACCATAAAGAGGACCTGTCAGTGTGCCTTTGCTATTATATAGGGGGATTGTTAAAAAATTGGGTAATAATAAATGTTTTATCATTTAATATAGGGGAAATAGTTTTTTTTTTTAAATTTCGGTAATTTTTCCTTAATATAGTAAAAAAATAAAAACCCCAGTGGTGATTAAATGCCACCAAAAGAAAGCTCTATCTGTCCCTAAAAAATGGTATAAAATTAATTTCAGTACAGCGTTGCATGACGGAATAAATGTCAGTCAAAGTACCGCAGCGCTGAATACTGAAAAATGGCCTGGATGGGAAGGGGGTTTAACACCGCGGATGTCAACTGGTTAAAGATAAACATACATACTATTAAATACAGTTAGAGACTTTAAAACATTTCATATACACTAAAACACATGTTTGTCACTTGTTCATGAGACAAAGTTGCCAGTCCCTCTTCTTAGTAAGGTGTCGCTGTTATCTTAAAGTCATTGGCGAAATTGCCATTCCAGGAGTTTAGTTTATCTAAACTAAAACACCTGCTATGTATACGTGTGGAACAAAAAATGCTGATTTAGTATGTATTTTGTTAAACTGAACAATGATGTAACCGAATCTTTATCTTGATGTAGACCTATATAGACCCTTTGTCTTACATACATGATTTATTGGTTTTTTTGTCCACCTGGATTTTTAAATAGCAATACTAAAGTAGTACATTTATTGGTTTTGTTGACTGCCGTTATATTCAATAACCATAGATAAGTCTTTTAATCAACCGTATTTTGATACTCTGTGCGAGTTAGACTATCTTTGTTATTGCCGTTGTATTGGGTAGTAAGCTACCCAAACGGGGAGACGTCCCCGCCGATTGAATGGGGGCTGCTGGTTATATGTAAGCAAATTTCGGTCCTTCAGTCACAAATTGTTTCTACTTGATTAATGAGTGTATATATAGGTGGACAAACCCCATTACTGTTGATGGTACCTTTAATCCTAAAGCATGGGGAAAAAAACTTGAAAAGAAAGTCAGATATTAAAAAACGAGATTTACGGGATGCTATTAATTTATCGTTGACTGTCAGTCCGAATGTAATGAAATAAAAATGCCTTATCTTTATGATTATTGCAAATTGATTTAAAACTGTTGTTGTGTAAAGGAGCAGGGTGAATATGGGTTAAATGAAGACAGAATGCAGGAGCTTGTTGTTCACTCCCAGAAAAGGAGGGGGGGGGAGGGGCTGTGCTCCGCCTTTGCTCAACCTTTGGATGGATGGATCAGAGAAGGAGTCAGATAGGCAGACATCAGCCTATTTATCTAGCCGCTAGGAAGATGGCAAGCCGGTGTCAGATGAAGAGAAGGGCAGGGATGCTATACTAAAGGTGTTAATTGAGGGAATTTCCCCCAGAGCTTCTGACAGGAAACACTGTTCAATCAGTATCTCTCAGGAGATAGTATTCCTCTTAAAGAAAGTAAACCTATTAGAATGAGATTAGGGAAAGACACTTACTGGAGTCTGAGTTGTTTTCTAAATTGAAGGCAGTAATTTAATTAACTGAGGATGGTATTGTGGTTGTCTCAGAGAAGACAGGAGCCCTTTTGACCCGACTGGCCACCGAGTTAGGGGAAGGATTTTTTATGGTCCAATCTGATGAAAGCCTCAACCCAGAACTCCAAGAGATAGACCCTAAAACTTTGAGCAACTGACAAGTAGGATGTCAGCCTGTTGGATGTACCCCCAGTAAAGTTTAGGTTACACCCAGGCACCAAAATACCCGCGTTAAAGCAGTACCCTCTGTCACCTCATCAAATACACAAACTGCTGGAGAAAGGGGTAATTATAAAAGTGACCTCACCTTCTAACACATAGCTGTTTCCGGTCAAATAGAAAACCGAGAGAGCAGGTAGTGTATAGGATAGTTCATGATTTAAAGGAGAACTATGAGGTGAGTGCTTTTCACTCACCTCATAGTTCTAGCCGACCTGTGACAATGAGACTGTGACAGGTCGGCTCAGTAGATCGGGAGGTGAGCGAACACATACCGGGTTCGCTCGCCTCTTGATCCTGTCACGGCTCATCACAAATCAACGAATAATTTGAGTTCTTTATTTGCGCTAACCTGATGACAAAATAAGAACAATTATGTGAAAATATATATATATATATTTATTAACTAAAATCAGTGCAAAATAATAATCAAAATGTAACAGGTGGCAATAATATTGATCAACAAAGATAATAAGAAAAATAAAAGCACAGGATATTTTTTCAAACATTAAAGAAACAAAACTCTTGGAATGCAATTAGTAGCTTCTCATTAGCTAAACAGAATATGACAAAATAATGTGTAGATTCACATGTGACCTCTCCCAGCCAACAGATATTAACAAGCTCAAATTTCTGTACCATTTATTTTATTAAAGGACGATCTTAAAAATCTTTAAGCTTATCTCTACCTTCTAAATACGAACTGAAAGTATCCTTGTCTCTGTGAAGAGCTCTACTGTATAGTGAATCCTGTCATATTCCTGTCTGAGAGGACAGCGGCATCACAGGCATTGTTTAAGTGTTTTACATTGTCACAGCACTTGCTGGGCACAGTCTGTGTTTCTGTTAAAAAAAACATGTTGGGTGATGTTGGGTAAATTAGCTCTATGTTGTGTTGCTTGCGTTGATGAATGCAAGGAATGTAAATGCATTAGCTAACCATTTTTGTCTAAACTGTGAAGCAGCATTATATATGCATCATGTGCATGATTTTTCCATATATGGCATTAGTGGAAATATGCTTTTAGAGACTTTTTGGTTGATAAATACGTTTTGCTGTGTGAAAATCACACACACCTGGATTTGAAATGTATATGTTTTGGGAGTATTCTTGTCATAATTAGTTACATAAAATGTCAACTGTTATTTTTCCCGGTACCTGTCTGTACCATGCTATTCTGCACGCATCTGTTCATTTCACCCTATAAAAACTTGCAGCGCTTTTCAATAAACTGAACAGCTTGATTACCGAACCTGAACTGTTCTATGTGTGCATACATACTGGATTTCAATGTATGACTTGGGTTCTGTCATAACAGTCGTGGCCCCTGATGACCTTTAAGGAGATGTTTCGGGAGGTCGTGCTGGCTCGACATGTTGTCTCTACTACTTACTCTGTGCTGGTGGAACCCACTTCTACACCTGAACTGGGCTTTATAACCAAGTGGAAAGGGGACCTCGACCTTAAGTTCAGTCAGGCGCAGAAAGAGCGAGTATACTCAATGGCTCACAAATCCTCTATTGCTTGTAAAGTCCAGGAACTCAGTGATAAGATAGTTTCATGGTGGTACAGGGTTCCGACACTGCTGCACTCAATGTTTCCTAAGGTTTGCCCTTGTGTTGGCCGTTGCTGTTTGGCCCCAGGGTCTATTTTCCACATTTTTTGGACATGCCTGAAGATTTCTCCCTTTTGGGATCAGGTCCTTGAGATCATTGAAAATGTCACAATGTTTACTCTGATAAAATAAACAGTTTTCTATTTATGAAAACAAGCAAGGATCTGTAATTAAGGAGATTCCCAACTTATTTTCACAAATCAACGAATAATTTGAGTTCTTTATTTGCGCTAACCTGATGACAAAATAAGAACAATTATGTGAAAATATATATATATATATTTATTAACTAAAATCAGTGCAAAATAATAATCAAAATGTAACAGGTGGCAATAATATTGATCAACAAAGATAATAAGAAAAATAAAAGCACAGGATATTTTTTCAAACATTAAAGAAACAAAACTCTTGGAATGCAATTAGTAGCTTCTCATTAGCTAAACAGAATATGACAAAATAATGTGTAGATTCACATGTGACCTCTCCCAGCCAACAGATATTAACAAGCTCAAATTTCTGTACCATTTATTTTATTAAAGGACGATCTTAAAAATCTTTAAGCTTATCTCTACCTTCTAAATACGA